TCGAAATGAACTTGCCGGATTCCCACAAGGAGGTCCTCAGCAGTTCGCTGCCGCTGTGGTATGTTTAGAGTTACCATTCGACATATGTTCCGTTTTCAAAATCATAATTTGTATGAAATCGAAACGTCAAAAGATTATCTTTTGTAGCACCACTATAGTTCTACCGTAATCCGTAATCTTTGGGATTGCTGTAGGTGTACGGTAAGACATTCTATGGAAATGTTTTTCATTTTCGAAATTTCTGAAACAATTTTTGCCGGTGCTTTATCAAAAATAAGCTACATATCGACTCAATACTGTTGTTGCATCACATTACTCACTAAAAAGGATTTTTTTAGTATAAGTTGGATTGTACAGTTATCTTACAGTAGCAATTGTACAGTAATCTTACAGTGGCAATATTTTCCATTTGTTCGTAATGTGCAAGAACTCCGCAGTACTGAGGTTTTGCATTCTGTAGCATTTGAGATATTCTCAAATCCTTTCAAAATCTTTTCTCCGATCGTTTGCTCGTGCAAATAAGGGACTCCGATTTATCGATATTGTTAAATTTTGGAAATAAAGGGCGACTTTTGAAGCTGTTATCAAAAGATACATCGTCGAAAATGACTAAGAAGTCAGAGTAAGCAAAAAATTCATTTTCTTCAGACAATCAATATGGAACATAATCGAATTAACAAAATCCCTATCGGCATATTTTCACGTGCGACAGGACTCACGAAGCTAAATTTGAAAGAAAATGAACTGCTGTCACTGCCACTGGGTACTTTCCACTTTTTTCTCTTTATTCCCAAGTCTCTAAATTAATTTGGCTTTCAGATATGGGAAGCTGGATTTCTATAACGGAATTGAACCTCTCAACAAACCAGCTAAAAGTGCTGCCTGAAGATATTGAGAAACTTGTAGGATTTCATAATTTCCTTTTTTTCTGTGAAGATGATGTTCCTTTTAGGTCAATCTTGAGATTCTTGTCTTGTCAAATAATCAGCTGAAGAAGATGCCAGCACAGATTGGGAATCTTAAGAAATTACGAGAACTTGATTTGGAAGAAAACGATCTTGAAACTGTTCCCAGTGAAATTGGTAATTCTTGCAATTTTCCGTAAATTCGCCCATTTTCAAAGCTTCCTTCAGGTTTTCTCTTGCAAC